CGATTTCTGCCAGCCAGCTGCGAAAATCGCATGGTTTTTGCGCAAAATAGCGCGGTTTTCGGCCGTTAGCGGCAAAAATCGCCCTATTTTTGGCCGCTAGCGGCGAAAATCGCACGGTTTTTGGCCGCTAGCGGCGAAAATCGCGCTATTTTTGGCCGGTAGCGGCGAAAATCGCGATTTTTGGCCGCCAGCTGCGAAAATCGCATGGTTTTTGGCCGGTAGCGGCGAAAATCACGCGGTTTTTGGCCGGTAGCGGCGAAAATCGCGCTATTTTTGGCCGGTAGCGGCGAAAATCGCGATTTTTGCCCGCCAGCTGCGAAAATCGCATGCTTTTTGCGCAAAATAGCGCGGTTTTCGGCCGTTAGCGGAAAAATCGCCCGAATTTTGGTCGCAAGCGGCGAAAATCGCACGGTTTTTGCCCGCCAGCGGCGAAAATCGCGCCATTTTTGGCCGGTAGCGGCGAAAATCGCGATTTTTGCCCGCCAGCTGCGAAAATCGCATGGTTTTTGCGCAAAATAGCGCGGTTTTCGGCCGTTAGCGGCAAAGATCGCCCGATTTTTGGCCGTTACCGGCAAAAATTGCGCGATTTTTGGCCGGTAGCAGCGAAAATCGCGCGGTTTTTGGCCGGTAGCGGCGAAAATCGCATGGTTTTTGGCCGGTAGCGGCGAAAATCGCGCGGTTTTTGGCCGGTAGCGGCGAAAATCGCGCTATTTTTGGCCGCCAGCTGCGAAAATCGCATGGCTTTTGCGCAAAATAGCGCGGTTTTCGGCCGTTAGCGGAAAAATCGCCCGATTTTTGGTCGCAAGCGGCGAAAATCGCGCCATTTTTGGCCGGTAGCGGCGAAAATCGCGATTTTTGCCCGTCAGCTGCGACAATCGCATGGTTTTTGGCCGCTAGCGGCGAAAATTGCGCGATTTTTGGCCGCTAGCGGCGAAATTCGCACGATTTTTGGCCGCTAGTGGCGAAAATCGCCCCATTTTTGGCCGCTAGCGGCGAAAATAGCACCTTTTTTGGCCGCTAGCGGCGAAAATCGGTCGATTTTTGGCAGGTAGCGGCAAAATTCGCACGATTTTTGCCCGCCAGCTGCAAAAATCGCATGGTTTCTGGCCGCTAGCGTCGAAAATAGCGCGGTTTCGGCCGTTAGCGGCAAATATCGTCCGATTTTTGGCCGGTAGCGGCGAAAATCGCACGGTTTTTGGCCGCTAGCGGCGAAAATCGCGCTATTTTTGGCCGGTAGCAGCGAAAATCGCGATTTTTGCCCGCCAGCTGCGAAAATCGCATGGTTTTTGGCCGCTAACGGCGAAAATCGCGCGGTTTTTGGCCGGTAGCGGCGAAAATCGCGCTATTTTTGCCCGCCAGCTGCAAAAATCGCATACTTTCTGGCCGCTAGCGGCGAAAATCGCGCGGTTCTTGGCAGGTAGCGGGGAAATTCGCGCGATTTTTGCCCGCCAGCTGCAAAAATCGCAGTTTCTGGCCGCTAGCGGCGAAAATCGTGCGATTTTTGGCCGCTAGCGGCGAAATTTGCACGATTTTTCGCCGCTTGCGGCGAAAATCGCCCTATTTTTGGCCGGTAGCGGCGAAAATAGCACCTTTTTTGGCCGCTAGCGGCGAAAATCGGTCGATTTTTGGCAGGTAGCGGCGAAATTCGCACGATTTTTGCCCGCCAGCTGCAAAAATCGCATGGTTTCTGGCCGCTAGCGGCGAAAATCGCGCGATTTTTGCCCGCCAGCTGTGAAAATCGCACGGTTTTTGGCCGCTAGCGGCGAAAATCACGCGGTTTTTGGCCGGTAGCGGCGAAAATCACGCGATTTTTGCCCGCCAGCTGCAAAAATCGCATAGTTTCTGGCCGCTAGCGGCGAAAATCGCGCGATTTTTGCCCGCCAGCTGTGAAAATCGCACGGTTTTTGGCCGCTAGCGGCGAAAATCACGCGGTTTTTGGCCGGTAGCGGCGAAAATCACGCATTTTTTGCCCGCCAGCTGCGAAAATCGCATGGTTTTTGGCCGCTAGCGGCGAAAATCGCGCGGTTTTTGGCAGGTAGCGGCGAAATTTGCACGATTTTTCGCCGCTTGCGGTGAAAATCGCCCCATTTTTGGCCGCTACCGGCGAAAATCCCCCTGCAGTTTTCAAAATACGATGCCTATTGGAAATATGATCCTTGAGCATTCGTGTGTGCGCATGCATGTGTGCGTGTGCGTGTGTGTGGGGGGGTTTCGGGGGGGGGGGGGGCAATTCAGGGTAATTGCACATATTTGGAGTTTTAAACTGGGAAACATGGGTAATAATAACTATTTTTCTATATTTTTTCTCCTGAACTTTAAGAAACTCGATAAAAAATCATCTGCCGAGGCATAGAAACGTGGCATGTTTACATTCTGGGCTGTCCTCGGGTAGATACTTGTCATAGAATCCAGAGAAACTCCTCCACCTTGAAGCCAAAACGCTGATACAAAATGAGTGCTGGATTTGTTGCAGAAACATGTAGAGTCACGTCTTTACCCATGCATGTCTGTGGCCCAAGAAAAATGCTTACTGTAACTATTGGTTAGTAATTAATATAATGAGGGGAATGGGAATGGGGCTAAGGAGAGGAGGGGCCAGGCGGTCCGTCTAATTACCAAAAACTACCACATACTACACACGCTTCAGAAAGCTTCCTGGCAATACGTTAGTAATGAATAAATGATATATTTACTCATTATAATGTTGGTGCTGAATGTACAACACGAAAAAACAATTTTAATCTGAAAAAGTATCTTTTTATAAAGAAATCAGACGAAAATAAAAAGCTGGTGACGCCAAATCAAGTCGACGATCCAAGTTTCGGTTAGGTTAGGTTTGGTTAAGTTAGCTTAGGATAGGTTAGGTTAGGTCAGCCTAACTTAATATATCATTTATTCATTACTAACGTATTGCCAGGAAGCTTTCCGAAGCGTGTGTAGTATGTGGTAGTTTTTGGTAATTAGACGGACCCGGGCCAGGAAAGTGGGTGAAGGTATGGGTGGAAAGGGATAGGAAAGTAAGGTAAGATAAGATAATTACCTTATCAAAAGGAGGCACCAAACTGAGAAGGCTATTAGCACCATCAAATATGCGGGATAATCAGAGGGTGCTAAATATCATCAAGGATGCCAATACGAGAGGGATAGGAAAGAGGTTAGTAGGTAAGGGAAAGGGAAGGGGGGGGGGGGGAAAGGCACAAGAGGTTGATAGGTACCTGGAAAGGATGGAGGGTAAAGAAAAAAAAAAAAAAAAGAGGTATGAACTTCTAGACTTGTCCAAGTGACTGTACATAGGTGAACCCACCACACACAATTCCACTAGTCAGCTGCCACCGCCGTGCCACCATACGCACCTGTGCCAGTTATTCTCGCACGACATTCTACGACCTGTTTCTTCGAGTGCTACTTGCACATGGTCTGTTGTGTTTACCATGTTACCCCACCACTTGCAGTAGGTTGCAGAGAGATCCAGCACCATATATTTGAACTCTCAGATGTTCAGCCACACGCAGTAGTGCTTAAGACAGCGAGTGGACTGCCACTATAGTGTCCATGCTTGAGCTACACTATGTTCATACATGTCCAGCTGATCAGGTCATCTTTGGAGCCATCTGCAAGAGTGTACAAGTATCTGGCTGCATCTATGTACTAGATGCAAGTACAATCTCTACATTTGTTTTCTTCGTGCTGATCAACCAGACGATCGTCAACCTGTCAACACCTGCAACTGGTGTGAGGCAAGAGATTGAGACCAGATTGTCCATGTGATTACCCATGTAGTGCCACATTGCATATTTTGCAATTGTTTACACAATTTACATACCCTATACAGTTGCATTCCATGATGCCTCTGTGACAAGTAACTTTGTTTATCAAGATGGGTCTTTTTTTCCTCTATGGAAGCAGAATCAGTTGGGTGCTTCACAATCCTTATACAATAATAGTCTTGCAGATATCAATCTCAAGTGAAGTCAAGCACCCAGTGTATTAGTACACAAGTTTATTGAGTAAACATTAGTGTGGACAAGTACATTTACATTAAACCATCCAAGTACTGCAACTACTATTACCAATACTACTGCTAATAAAGTCATTATTAGACTTAAAACCATTCAACTGGTTCTGGGTTATCAAATTAAATTTTTTGTTTAGGACTCTTATAATCCTCTACAATTGTTTGTGCATTAGAGAGATGCCAACTATGCAGTGGGTTATGACCAGGTGCACAACCATCTTAGAGAGATATACCTACAGGGGGGGGGGGGGGGGGGGGGGGGGGGGGGTCCCTCACTATTGTGCCCTAGTCTGGTACAACTTCTCTTAATACATCTTTCCTTTTAAATCCATTGCCGAGCTGCCGGCCACATGCAAATTGTTGGCATTGCAAGCAATTGCTGCAAAATCTAATTCCTCACATTGATAATCTAAGAAAAGGAGAGCTGCAATAATCATGTTAAAGAGTCAACACATTTGCCATTTCATCATTAGTTATTCCACACTTCATGCAACCAAACATAATGAGAAAAAACTGTGGTTGACGCAGGCAATGAGTCGCAATAACGTGGCTAAAGTATGTCGACCAGACCACACACACTAGAAAGTGAAGGGATGACGACGTTTCGATCCATCCTGGACCATTCTCAATCGACTTGAGAATGGTCCAGGACGGACCAAAACGTCATCGTCCCTTCACCTTCTAGTGTGTGGTCTGGTCAACTGTGGTTGATTACTGTATATAGGCTGAGAATATTTATACCTACTTTGCACACACCTCTGTTCCTCACACAGCTCAAATGAAGCTGCTCAACACTCCTTTGCTACTCTTCTATCTGGGAAAATTGCCCAGAAAAAGATACAACACAAAGATCAAATTGTGACAAAAATTCAATACTTAAGAGGTGAAGCAAGCACACTTCAACCAAATACCAGTACTTAAGTTATTTGCATTTAACTTGAAGAAACCATAAACACTACATAAAACTGGATTTCAAGAAATCGGAAAGTTAAAATTATTTATTTGTAATACAATTATCACAAATTTGCTACATTTACATCACATCAGAACATAAAACCTTGAATGCTAATATAGTAATTAAAATATTCCTCGAGAACCAATTCCAAATACAGTATCAAAATATAAATTTCATTGTAGATGAAATTATATATCTCCAAACAATACACTTTAAAAATGCATTTAATGATGGCTGAAATACATTATTTCAAAAGAAAAGTTTGTCTTCAAACATGAGAAAATACCTTAAATTGCATAAACCCTAACATAGTATTTCAAAATTTTATTATTACATGCTAATGAAATTCGACTTGGACCTTTAAATATCTTCTTGAACCCAAAGCTACTCGGGGAAAATTTGTATTCAACTATTATAAAATATCATAACTGGGTTATGTACCCAGCACATAACTTCTAAATCACAATCTTCATTTTTACCTTTATAGCTTCAGTCAAATGGATTTGTGTTTTAGCTTCTGTCTAGCCATCGAAAAAACTTAAAATCTTTTTACCGTTGATTCAAAAACAATTTCTGGGATATAAATATCCAATGGTGTCCTAAATATATTTCTTGCAATTGCCATACAAGTAGCATCACTACCTTAATAAAATGTACATTAGGAATTTTGATACGCTTTAATTATACCAATTTCTTTGCCTCGAAGAAGCTCTTCAAATGGCGCATTTGCCAGAAGCCCATACCAAGCAGGATGCACACTTGGCCAATGGACCACCACAGGACTCTCTGATTGGTGCTTTCTGAAGTTTGTCGGAAGCGTTCTTCACGATACTGAAATAAACCCTGTATTTAACACATGAACTTTACAAATTATCTACAGTGAGGTGATAGATTAGATGGCAACCATGGAAACAATTTCCATCATGCAAGATGCATCTTTGCTTAAGACAAGTCTATCCTTTACAAGAATATTTTAGAAAGGAAAAAAATATTTGGCATGTTTCACCACACATTCATTGAAAGTAATTTTAAAGTTAACTATCACTGTTCTTTATATACAACACTGAACTCAAATCTCAATGTATAGGATTCAATTTATACTCATCCCTGCCTATGCACAAACATGCCAATAAATATTTTTTCCCCTTTCAATTTATAATTTGGATGCAAAATGAATTTAAAAAAAAATTATTAGCTTTAGCTGTGAAAGGTTACAGGGTGGCATTGGGTGTTGACAGAGTGCCAACTTTTCCAACACTGCAGTACGACACCTACAGTGTTCATCTTTGATTTTTCTTCAATCATTTATCACTTTTTATATGTACTGTTCTAATGTGTATTGTAACACACATTAGTATATATAAATACACACACGTTATTCCATAACCAGAATAAATAAATCCAGTGTTTACAGTTGAACGTAATGAGACACCACCAACTTGTGGCAGAGCCACTGTCGCTCCCTAAAGCTACAATTTCCAACATTGATGGGCCAGGGAGCCGTGCCATTTATTAATTCATACAATAAGAAGGAAAGCACCCAGAAAGTCGGCAAGACAAAAACCACAGCTGGCTGGTTACCTGCAGACTCGGGGGTGGGGGGGGGGGGGTTCCCTCTAGTACAGAGGGAATTTTCAAAAGTATGTAAACAAAGTTTACAAACTAGTGCCCGCTTGTTCTCCCCACCCTTTCCAACTGTTTGGGGAGGGGGGGAAATGAGGGGGCAGGCCACAGCTCTCGGGCTGCTGCTCCATCAGTTCAACGAATGGAGCAAGAAACCCAACGTCCTGGGAAGGGTGTCGGAGCCACTGGGGCTCACCCAGAAATTTTCCATTTCATTACATTCAATGCAGGTTTTCTGGGGATGGGGGGGGGGGAGGAGCCCCTTGTGGCTCCCTGAAGCTAACTACACATGGAGCAGCAGCAAATTCACACTTGCCAGGAAGGAATGAGCACCACGGGTATCAAATCAAAGAAAGACTGCTACAAAAGCCAACCCAAGGCCACACAGGTACCGAGGGCTTTGAAATATTGACTAGATACCAGATGCCAAGACCAGGCCGACACAGAGGTCCATGTCGTCTGAACGTCTCTCAAAGACAGAGGAAGGAATCTATGATCCATTCTATGCAAATGAGAGAACGGACAGAGCATCAGAGACATTGGACACTCCCAGAACATTAATAGCAAGGCGAGGCAAATCCCTGGTTAGCAGACATGCAGACTTGCTGGGAACCCACACCAGCCAGTCATCGAGGTAGGCTAAAACCCGAACACCCAAAGGAAGGAGACTGGTAACCACGACCCGAGCCAAGCATGAAAACGTGAAGAGCCAGATTCTGGCCAAACGGGAGACCCCGGAAGCAGTAAGCATGACATTCCACTACAAATCTAACCAATCCCTAAACCTCTGACATATAGGTACATGCCAGTAAGGGTTCTGAAGGTCCAGAGATATCATCCAAGCACCTGACTGAAGAGCAACATGGACCTGGGACAGAGAGGTCATTCAGAATGAGCAGCAAGAAATAAATTGGTTCAATGACAAACTATCTCTAATGGACCAGAGACTCCCATTTCGGACTGGGGGAAAAAAAAAAAAAAAAAAAAAAAAAAAAAAAAAAAAAAAAAAAAAAAAAAAGCAGGAAATCCACCGAAGACATGGTCATTTCGACAATGCAAACAGCCACCCAACTGGAGAGGAGCCAGCACAGATGCAGAAGAAGTAGTCTGCCCAGACAGATCCAAACTCCGAGAGGAGGCAGAACCAACCAACTCCAAAAGGCCAACAGAAACAACCTAAAGGGCCCCACAAATCGTGGGACCAGGCATCAGCAAACTAGGCATTGGCAAACCAGGCTAGACTCTGCCCTCCCCCCCCCCTAGCACCTCCCCATTAATGGGGGCGAACCGCAAAAGGGCTAGTGTGAATCCCAAGACGCTGCATTGTGAGCAGGGCAAGCACGGTACTCACTATGCCAATGAAGCAGTCGCAGGAAGCACTTGCAACCTGCCCTCTGGCTCTACCGATAGCCCACCTGTACCAACACCAGGATCGCCACCCAGATTGCCTTGAAAAACTAGTCCAACCCCACTGAATACAAAGGTCCCAAATAGGGCTAACACGATGTAGCGGTAGAGGACAAAAACCAAGTCACTACATCCTCTAGAAAGAGAAGCAGAGAAAGGGGAAGATGACAAAAGAAGGACGAGGGCACAGACTGAATCTAAAGAGCCAGCACAGCCTGATGACAGAGCATGACCATATCCCGCAGAATAGGAGCAGCAGCTTTTAAGAAAAGCTGCTGCTGATGCCAAGTCCAAAACCAAACCCAAAGAGGACTATTCCCAAGTGCACCAATGTCCTCTGCAAACCATCAAAATGCAGCTCAATGATAGCAAGAAAATGCATGACAGCCCAAGTGCTGATGGGCATGCAGGTCATCTGCCACCACTAACGCCAAGAGCCAAGGAACTTGTGCATAAAGCTGAAGAGCCCCAATACCCTAGGGAAAAGTAGGGGTAAACAGGCAAGCATAAAAGGGCTCAAAATAGAAACCCCCCAAAACACCCAAAATGCACTCACAACCTAGCATCACTCAAGCAAGAGGATCCAGCAAAAACTGGCAGGGTTCAAGAGAAAGGATTTTCTGCTAGCCAGATAATCTGCACAACCTCATAACATACCCAATAAGGAAGATCTGAACTCAAGATAGGCCTGGTCCATTTGAGAGGCATAAACTGGGTCACATAGGAGGCATGTAGAAAGTCCTCACAAGCCTCCAAAGGGAGGACCCGATAGGGAAGAAACTTCCAAAACTATGCCCCTGGTGTACCCAGACTCAAATCCAACTCAATTGGTGTACTCAAATCCAACTCATTCTATTACGGTTCAAGGGAAGGAGGAGGGTATGAAAACCCTACTCCCTGCAACTGAAAACCTTCTGCAGAAGATGCTCGGAACCATGAAGGGTCAAAGGAAACCCAAGCTTTGAGAGAAGGGGCCGGGTGGTAAGAAAGCCCAAAAGCCTTGACGAATCATGAGGCTCGATTGCCTGTGCGCTGGAATCTGAAGCAACCCCTAGAGCCTCCCAAGCCATACCATGCGCTATGCCCTGCCCCAACCCCAAAACCCTCAGAGAGGCTTCAGGGTCAGAAGCAGAGTGGAAAAGGGCAGGGAGGGGAGGGAGGGGGGGGGGGGGGAAGAGGACCAAACCACACCCAACAGGGAAGGAAGAGGAGGCACAGACAGAGCCAAGGTCTAATTAAACAACACCAAATCCAGGTCACTAAAAATCAAACGGGGAAGCTCCATGGCATCTAAATGGGCACACAACCAAGACTCATAACACAATCACAGACGAGCGGTTGCTGCCTGATGAACTCAAGTACCATCAAAAGGGCTTGCGAGATGAATAATGTGATGGGAGCACTCCCCACACGACTCTGGGTCAAAGGTATCATTGACCCAACAGGCAGCATGGTGGAGGCAGAACGAATGAACAATCTGCCATGTGGCACTAACGATGGGCAACCTTCAAACACTTAGTGAGGGCTCAAGGGGAAAAACCCCTGACCAATGAATCTGCTGGGAATGTGTGCCTTGTTTCCCCAAGTCAAGATTTACCTTGCTGTTTTGTCTTTCTACCTTTCTGGTGGCTTATTTCTTAGCAAGATCTGGCATCCCTTGCCCTATGCACCCGAGGGGGGGGGGCCAGGTTTTAGCCACTGGTCTAGTAGGCATTTAGCAACTTGCAAGGGCCTGGCAAGATGTGCAGAGCTAACCTGGTGGCCAAGCACAGGAAGCTTCCATGAAGCCCTCTCACAAACTGCAGAAATAACAGGACACCTGAAAGCAGAGATACCAGTGGGCCAGAAATGAGTACCTCACTGTGAGGAGAGATCCAGAGAGGCAGTTTGAAAATGACACAGCAAACAAAGCCAAGACCCAACCAAAACTGCTATACAGCCACATCAGGAGGAAAAACTGTGAAAGAACAGGAGGAAACTGAAAAAGGATGGGTATACAGAAAATGACAGCTATGCAAAGAAGAAATTCAAGGAGGTCTTCACAATAGAGCAAGAAGTCCCTGAACTAAGAGGAGGAGAGGTGTGGCATTAAACCAAGCAGCATTAGAAAATATTGAAATTACCAGAGATGAGGTTAGGAGGCATCTGCTCTTTCTAAATGTGACCAAGGCTGTTGAACCTGACAATCTCACCATGGATGCTAAAAGAAGGGCAGACGCACTTTGCATGCCACTATCTATAATGTATAACAAGTCACTGGAAACTTGAGACCTACCAGAGAATTGGAAGACAGCTAATGCAGTCCCAATACAAAAAGGGGGATAGGCAACAAACCCTAAACTACAGGCCAGTGTCCTTAACTTTTACATCATGCAAGGTGATGGAGATCATGAGAAAAAGGCTAGTAGTACATCTGGAGAGAAGGGACTTTGTAACACCACCAGCATGAGTTCAGGGATGGCAAGTCATGTTTCACAGGTTTAATAGAATTCTATGACCAAGCAACAAGCATTAAGCAAGAAAGAGGAGAATGAGCAGACCATTTTCTTTGACTGTCAGAAAGCATTTGACAGTACCCCATAAGAGACTGTTGCATAAATTGGAGAAACAAGCTGGAGTAAGTGTTAGGATGTGTCAATGGATAAGGGAGTATCTAAACAGGAAGCAGAGTTACTATGAAGGGGGGAGAGACTTCAGACTGGTGTGAAGTAACCAGCAGAGTCCCACAGGGTTCTGTACTCAGACCTATCTTCTTTAATACAAGTGAATGATCTTCTAGAAGGTATAAACTCATTCTTAATGTTTGCCGATGTAAAAATTACGAAAAGCATTAAGATAGAGGACGGCAACAAGAGGCTACAGGATGAACTGGATAGACTGAAGGAACGGTCCAACAAATGGCTACTAGAATTTAAAGTGACCAACTGCAAAATGATGAAGATAGGCGTAGGGAGCAGGAGGCCAAACACAAGGTACCAGTTGAGAGAGGAAACTCTTCAGGAATCAGGAAAAAAAAATCTGGGGGGGGGGGGGGGGGGGGAGTTGATATCACACCAGTTCTGTCTCCCTGAAGCCCACATCAAAAGGATAAAATCAGCGGTGTATGCAGGCTGGCAAACATAAGAACTGCCTTTAGAAACTTGTGCAAGGAATTTTCCAGAACCTTGTATACCTCTTGGGTCAGACCAATACTGGAATATGCAGCTCCAGCAGAGTCCACATCTTGTTAAACACAAAACGAAGTTAGAAAAGGTTCAGAGGTATGCCACCAGGCTGAACTATGAGGAAAGATTATTGGAACTAAACCTCACAACACGGGGGGGGGGAAAGGATCGCTACCTATAAAATTCTCAGAGGACTTGACAGGGTAGATAAACTGTTTAGCATGAGTGGTACACAAACATGGGGGCACAGGTGGAAACTTTGTACAGGTATCCAAAAGAGCCACAGGAACGTTAGAAAGAACATTTTCAGTGTCAGTAGTCAACAGATGGAAGGTATTAGGCAGTGAGGTGGTAGAGGTAGACTCCACACAGTTTCAAGTGTAAATATGATAGAGCCCAGTAGGCTCGGGAATCTATACACCAGTTGATTGACAGTAGAAAAGCAGAACCAAAGCGCCAAAGCTCAACCCCTGCAAGCACAACTAGGCAAGTACAGAATAATTTACTTTCATTTTTATTACCTTTGTACTAGGTGCTGGGACATTAAATCAATCAGTACCATATTCATTTAAGACACTTTAAATGCTCAACAATATTTTCTAAAACAGCATAATCCATCTAGACATCTGGCACATTTTTCCAAAGTTACAATTAATTTTTGTTTATCAAATTCATAACATTGACAGAACTGTACTTTTAAAATGAAGCACAAGCCTTACCCTCTGGTAATTCTGTTCCTTTGAAATTTGATCAACCTGGTCCAGCAGCTGTCGGACTCTAAGCTGCAGTTCTGTCAGCTTCTCCTTTTGTGCCACATTGGCATAGTCAATAGCATGCTCACCCACCTGGATATCAAAATGCACACGCTGAAACAAACAAAAAAAAATTATCCTGCAATTTCCCATCAGTTTTATTTTTCTTCAAACATTAAATTTATTAACTACAATGCAACTATGATTCAGCAAATCTCACTTCAATGAATCAGTTTACAACGTATTGAACTGGAGAAATGTTACAAGAATAGTACCATAAGTTTCAGTACTAGCACCAGTAGTGTTTCAGTACTAGCACCAGTAGTGTTCATTGTCTATATACACAATAAACAAGAGTAAATAGTTATACAGCATGAACATGTTCACTGAAGATAAGTTACTTGAGAAAGTAAGACCCATGACCCATGCCCTTTAAGCTGAAATAGACAGGAAGTTAATGGAGTAACACATGGTAGATGGAATTCAAAGTAAATACATGCCATGTTATGGAATGTGGAATAGGGGATAATAGGATACACTCCTAATTATGTCAAAAGACAAAGAACTGACAAAGATCTAAGGGCGATTCTGGATAAACTATTACCATAGGATCACAAAGATTGTGCAAGGTGCCTATGTAATGCTTTCCAACTTCAGAATCTCTTAAATACATGGATGGTGAAATACTAAAAGAAATGTGTAGCAGTTGTACGGTGCCCATATCTCAAGAAGTACAACAAAATTGGAAAGTGTATTGTTACAGTTATCTCCTGCATAGATTGATAGTATACTTCACAAACTCTTGCTTTGATTTAATATAAAACTTCTTACCAGACATCTTCGACCTCCACCAAACATTTATTCACAGCTTTTCCCAGATTTTCTTGCTTCCATTTAATCTTCATAAAATAATGTTAATTCTTTTCCAAACAAATGCCTCCTTACTTCATGAAAGCAAAAGCGAGGGAAATACTGCAAATCAATTTAGGCTACATACCAGTTGTGATCCAGAGAACCATTTGGTAGAGTTGGAGTACAGGCAGATGACGTGTTCTCCCGGTGTATGAGAGGTAAATGTGAACCGTCCTTCACTGCTGTACACCTACAACGACAATTACACCATAAAAATCTAAGCCAGAAAATGAGTAAATAAAGATTATTCTGGACAGTTTGTTGAATAAGTGTGTTTAAAGACTCACAATTACACCAATAGTGATATTGGTTAACCTTTAGTGTGCAATTCTCTCTGCTCTGGTTCACCATGTCCAATTCCCAAAATATTTGGAACCATTATTAATTTTCTTTCTAATATTTTAACTTTATAGAATTTAGGTTTTTAATAACAATACAAATTCCTTGCATATGCAAATTTAAACTAAGTAACCCTCAAAATACAGCTTTGAAAATTATTACAGGAACTGTACTTTGGAGAAAGGGGAGATTGCAAACCCCCCCCCACCCCCCTCTTCCTCTATATGAAATGGTATATCTATCCAAACGTACAGAAGGAAAAAAAATCATACAGCTACTCTTATTTTGGCCTAAGCAGTCCATTCACTAGCATTATTACAGTGCAAGAGGCCCTTGTAAAGGGTATAACTCAGGAGAGAAACAGCAGTGTTAAATGTTGAAAAACAGTAACTTTTTGAACTCTTGCATTTGGAATCCCTGCCAGCACAATAGTCTGTTCTGCACATGCATAGAGCAGTGTCATTGCAGGAAAGTGTCATCCCAGAACTTTCACATCTGCTGTTCCAAGTAAACAGCAAAGAAAATACATTGTTAGAAGTATATTCAGTGCTGGAAAATATAGAAACAACAACAGTGTTATATGTTGAAAAACAGCCTAGAACTTTAAGACATACAAATGAACTATATGGGGATACAAGCGTGTGAAACATTATTGGAACTGTACAGTTAGACACAGATGCACAACTGGTCTCGTGGACGCTGTTGTGGGCAGGACGAAGAGTAGGCCAGTCATCACTCTTGTGACAGGCGACAGTCTCTTACAATAACGATACGTGCAGTGTTCCAATACGTACTATAACCGTCTTCCTTCTCAGTGTTAGTTAGTGATGGGCAGTTTTAATCAAAGTTTGTTTATAGAACTCCATATAGGTGGTGTTATTGATTCATTCACTCAGATTTCTGTCACATGTGGTCTACGCCCCATCAACTTTGGACCATTATTTGGTCCCATAATGTTTAGTGTCAAGATTTTGTGTATGGTTAAAACCCATGTTACCTTTATAGCTCACCAAGGAAGTGTAGAATATATACAGTAACTATTGTTGGTCTAGGCAAGTGCTACAATCCAGCCCATCCTCCCATTTTGGTAGTACTTATAGCAATGATGAGGACCATCGTACATATAGCGACGTAAAAGGCAATTAGAAGTAGAAAACAGTACCATTGAATTTGGACAAACTGGAAAAGTTTATATTTTAGTTTTTTTATATTTATTTTATAATTTTTTATATAAAATATAAATTTATACATAAAATTATTTTATTTTGTATATTTTATACTTTATAGTTTTTATATTTCTGGTAGTTTTTGTGTGAATTGTAGCCTGTGTACTTCAGGAATGTTATTCAGTAGTTTGGTGATGTTTTCCCACATCTGTCCCACTATACACTTTCACACACTATATACATTCACCATCAACACATTCAGAACACCGAGTGTGAGCAGCCACACCCAGCCAGCCCTCCCTCCCTCACTCACTCACTCACTCACTCACTCGCTCACTCGCTCACTCCTCCAACATTGCTCCTCCCATCATACAGTTATTAACACCAATGTTCCATGTTCATTTATGTATATTTACAACATATGTATACACTTGTCACACACTATATACATTTACCATGAACACATTCAGAACATCGAGAGTGTGAGAAGCCACACCCAGACAGGCCCTCCCTCACTCCAACATCGCTCCTCCCACCATACTGTTATTGTTTTTATTACACTATTTATACATGTTATATATACCTATCTACACGTTTTATTTAGCAGAACTATGCAAGTTAGCCGGTATTGTGTCCAAACAGTACAGTGGCCACCATACACTACATAAGAAATCACAGCAGACAATGCTACGATTGAACATTGTGAACAGCATTGAATCACTGGTATTTGAACATTGCACCCAGTCATTATCACACTCAGGCTCTTCTATAATACTATCATGGCTAAATAATACAGGTTATATATATATATATATATATATATATATATATATATTTTGACATTATTAGGCGATGCTGTGGTTACACGCTGAACAACAGAGCTGTGCGCCCATGCTGCGAGTCCCAGCCTTGGCTGTTCACTCACTACCGAGGCTCTCACACCCGGCAATGTGGACCATGATTTTTTTTAAAGATGGCATCTGTTTACAAGAGCCCTGAGGAAGCTGATGTGAACCCCCATGTAGCCGCAGGAGTTTTGAATGGAATGTGAAAAATAAAAACACCCAAAGCCTGGGCCTGCAGGCGCGTTGCGTAGTTAAAGGGTTAATAGAATAGGCCTGGTTCTATTTAATATTTGTCCCCCATACCTTTAAAATTTTTGTCTTCTCACTACTGTGAACTTTCTTGCTTCTCTGTATTGCTGGAACATTTGAGGGTTTGGCCTCCTCCAGTTTATCCCCCCCCCAAGCCCCCCTTTTCTGGCCTTCACAATTTATGTTTAATCTATCTTGCTTCCTAGTTCAAAATCTTTACTAGAATAAATTTCCTTGTACCTTCATCATACACCTTACAACATTTGTCATACATCTTTGTTTACTTCCTTTCCTAACAAATTTTTCCAATCAAATTTATTAAAGCACTTGCTAAGGGCTGCATAGTGTCCCCTCTTGAAATAAAGTTTTTCCAATATTTCATTGTTTCCAATTTCTAAATTATAGTGAATAGTATATAGTATTTGCTTTCCAAAAGCAGCATGATTGCATTTGCCCATTGGAGGAAGGTGCCGAATGCGTAACATCTCTCCTTTCCTGGTAAATACCAAATCCAACAATGGGGCATTACCTTATTCTTTTGTACTGTTTTACATGTTGATACACGAAAGATACTAGGAAGAGGTTTACCAATATGACAGTCCAAAAATCCTGTTCTTGCCTATCACAAAGTCTTTCAGGTCTAATTTAAATTGAAGTTATCAAGTACGGTATCAACAATGATTTATCCATCTGCTTTTTCAATAATTGCTCTCTTGATCACTGTAAGGCCCTCCATGTGTTAGTTACATGGGGGGAGGAGGAAGATTCTAAAGACATCCATAACAGAAGATACTATTGGCAACAAGAAAAATGCAATTCTCGTTATGAATTTTTACAAGCAACAAGATTTTTCCTTAGCCAAAATATCTTCAAAAGGCAAGATATGCTTCATTATACCACCTATAAAAAATAGAACAATTTTGGGGATAAAATATTGTCAGGCATGAATAAATATTTACAATAAAATATTAGCAATTTACTTTAAGAATCCACTGCTAGTAATTAAGAGTTTACAGTGAACAGTTTAAATTAAAGTTATATTAGCTTCAATATTACTGTATAACTAATTTGAACAAGACAAACTAACAAGAAAAAGGGAGAGTAAAAACACTCACTCTAGACAGGAGAATTTTGTCATCGGGGTCTCTGATCTCCACATGCATACCAAGTCCTGGGGAAGATGGCATGAAACCTCCAGTACGTGGATCATACAGCTGAAGTTTATAGTTCCCTGGAAAAGTAATAATACAGTAGCACTATTATAAAAATTTAACTTTTCATGATCAAGGTCATAATCAAGTTTCATTATCACTCTCCCAACAACATTATTTTAAGTTTTGGAACACATGAAGGGAATTTGTCTAACATGAAAGTTTTATTGGGTAGCTTCCAATAGTTTCAAATGCCTATTAAAGCTAACAATTTTAAGGATTGTAATAAAAATTTCAAAGGTACCATAATTATGGTGACCATGTTGCAATCTGCCCATTACTGAAGACCAATTTTAACTACTTAAAAATAAAATGGCCAATGTAACTAAGGGGGGAAAAGCTTCAAATTCAACCAGCCACAATGTAGGCCAGAAAACAAGTGATGCTTTTTTACCCGTAGGGTATTTAACCCACAGAATTATCAACACACCAAAGCCATAAATGCCAAGAAAATACCCCAGTATAAAATCCAGCTAGAAACAATCTCTAGGCATAATAAGGGTGGGGGGGGGGATGGGAATAGGTCCTTGTACCGACAAAGACAACCAAATGCTGTCGCTCGGGTACATTTCAGAACTTTCTTGTGATCAATCTAGTACAGTACTGTATTTCTATTCTCAATCCAGTACCAGACTTCCATAGTTCTTGTCTGGTCTACAAAACGGGTTCCAAATTTATTTGCCAGATTCTATGAAAAAAAACACTATTAATGAATTTACATTACATAAATTTCAAAACTGAACAAAGTGCAAATATCCCAGCATTTGCATACTTGAGGTCAGTGGTGTATCATTACTCTAGGCCCTGGAACTCTGTGTCTGCACTTTTCATCAAAATGCAAAACTTAGTTTCAGCAATCTAGTGTAAAGAATCGACACAAAACACTAATGGCAAAATCCTTTTTTGGCATTTATGCTTCAGCAGGTAGACAATTCCATGGGTTTATAAACCTGTAGGCCGAAAAGGCATCCATTTCAGTCCTACATTATGGACTGTTGAGCTTTAAACCATTGCTCCCCATTTGTGTTAACTTCTTGGAAAGGTCAGATGTGTCTAGATCAACATCTTCCATATTGTACGGCCCATAAGATCGGCCCTCTCATGCCTGGTTTGCAGTGTTAGCCCAGTGGTCTTCAAATGTTCCTAGTATGAGAGTCAACAGTAGTAGAATTATTTGATACCTAATGTTGAACTTTCTAAAGCAGCTGTCTTTCTAAAGATGAAGTCTCCATGCTTTGATACAATAATCAAAGTGAGGACACACCATAATTATATGGATGATGAAGTACCAAAGAAACAATGACTTGCGAGACCAAAATTGGAATATGCAGCAGTCTTATGGTGCCCAAATCAAGAAGCACATAAATAAACTGGAAAAGGTGCAAAGGCACGCTACAAAATGGCTTCTGGAACTGAAAAACAAGAGTTACAAGGAGAGACTAGAGGCGTTAAACAGGCCAAAATTACAAGATAAACAAAAAAATGAGGCAATATGATCACAACTCACAAAACACTAACAGGAATCTACCAAATTGACAAAGGAATTCCTGAAACCAGCAACTTCACAAACAAGGGGACAGATTCAAGCCAAGGAAGCAAAGGTGAAAAAAAAAAAATAGAAAGTTCTCACTTTCAAACAGTAGTAGACTGCTGGAACAAGCTAAGTGAGAAGGTAGTGGTGGCCAAAATCGTCAGTTGTGTCAAAGTGTTTTGAGACAAAGTACTGGGAAGATGGGACACCACGAGCGAAGCTCTCATCTTGTAGCTACACTCAAGTAGCTTTAACACTTGGGGTAATTACTATATTTACACAGTCTAATAACCAACTTTTCCCTAAAGTCAGAAGGTATGCTTAATTATACCCAAGGTTTGATTAGCTTTTTGACCATTTCTACATGTTGTGCAACTTTCACTGAATGGTAGATCCTGACTAAGGTCCATTACCATGCAGTAGATTAACAAATCTTATTAATTTGTTAGTTCTGATACAGGTTCTTATGCCCCACATGCAAGGTCTTTCCATTTTTATTAAAAATAGCATTTGCCAGCTGACCATTATGGAGTTCATTAAAGATCTTTTTTGCAAGGCCTCTATCATTTTCCCTTCCCACTTTACCATAAATTTTTGTGTCTTCTGCAAATTTGATGATGTAATTTGCAATATTCTCATCTATGTCATACGACAAAAAGTAACATTAATCACATTATGCAGATCGGCAACTTCCTCTGCTGTTGCTGTGCAAGTCCTGTAACATACGCCAACTGTCAATTTGCTCCCATCTTCAGCCATTATGTTGTAAAGTACAGACTCTTCATACCATTATTTTCAATTCTCTTTGGTGGTTTCATTAAGGTCTTCTTTCACAAACATGATTATAATAATAATAATAATAATAATAATTTTTATTTAGGCAAAGGTACATACATAGAGAGATTTTACAAAGTTTGTTGGCTTTATAGATAGGAGCTAGTACATACAATGCCTAAAGCCACTATTACGCAAAGCGTTTCGGCAGGAAAAAACACTACTGACTAAAGCTTAAAACTAATGGGTAAAAAGAAAAAAATGCGTTGAGTACAAATAAAAATAGAGGTAAAAGAGGGGGGAACATTGTTGAAAAAACAGCACAAATACAATTACAAATTATTACAGAAAATTACATTAAAACAGCGTTGATTTGTAAAACAAAAAAAAAACATACATGGGTTGACAATAGAGAGGTAAGGTAGGTTACAGGGAATTTATTAGGTATAGCTTTGTTTTTAACTTAAACTGGTTGAGAGAGGTACTGTCTTTAACATGGTTGGGAAGGTCATTCCACATCCTGGGCCCCTTGATTTGTAGAGCATTTCTGGTTTGATTAAGTCGTACTCTAGGAATATCAAAACTGTATTTATTTCTGGTGTGGTGCTCATGGGTTCTGTTACAACCTTCTATGAAGCTTTTGAGATCAGGATTGGCATTACAATTTAGCGTTTTGTATATGTATAGTACACATGAGAGAATGTGCAGTGACTTAATGTCTAACATATTCAGGGATTTGAATAGGGGTACCGAGTGATGTCTGGGGCCAGAATTGGATATTGTCCTAATAGCAGCTTTGTGTTGAGTAATTAGAGGACGTAAGTGATTTTGGGTAGTAGAGCCCCAAGCACAAATACCATAGTTGAGATATGGATAGATAAGGGAGTAATAGAGAGTCACCAGGGCAGGGCGTGGTACATAATATCTGATCTTAGAAAGAATGCCCACAGTTTTTGAAACTTTTTTTGATATGTTTAGAATGTGTCCCTGGAAATTCAGCTTGTGGTCAATGAGAATGCCAAGGAATTTGCCATCTAATTTGTTACAAATTTGGGTATTGTTTATTTTGAGATTTATTTGATTAGAGGATTTATTGCCAAACAGAATATAGAAAGTTTTGTCAATGTTAAGGGTGAGTTTGTTGGCAGTTAGCCACAGATGGACTTTATTTAGCTCAGTATTTACTGTGGCATTTAGAGCAAGGGGATCAGGACTGGAGTAAATGAAGGTTGTGTCGTCAGCAAATAGGATTGGTTTGAGGTGTTGGGAGGCATTTGGAAGGTCATTAATGTAGATGAGAAAGAGGAGAGGGCCAAGTATGCTGCCCTGGGGAACACCAATGTTGATGGGTAGGGTGGGCGAAATTGTATTATTCACAGAAACACATTGGAGCCTGTCAGTAAGGTAGGATTTGAGGTATTGTAGGGAGTGTCCTCTGACACCATAATGATGTAATTTAAGAAGAAGGTTTTGGTGGTTGACAGTATCGAAAGCTTTACGCAGGTCCACAAATAACCCAACAGGGAACTCATTTTTATCAAGAGCTGTATGAATCGAGTTAAGCATACTAATAAGTGCATCGTTAGTGTTTTTTTGGGGCCTGAAGCCATATTGGCAAGGGCTAAGTATATTGAGTTTGGCTAGATATGAGTAAAGCTGCTTATAGATTAGTTTTTTAAAAATTTTTGACAAGTTTGGCAGGATTGATATAGGTCTGTAGTTGTTAACATCTGTGAGATCACCACATTTGTGGACAGGCGTTACTCTCGCTTTTTTTAGAATATCTGGAAAGGTTTGGAGTTCAAGTGACTTGTTGAAGAGCAAAGCAATAGCCCCACCTGGGCTATTTACTTTTACCCCACCTGCTCTTGTTCTGCCCTTTCTGAAAGGTGGACGGTATCCTGGGAGATGGAATTCTCCTATTATGTCCCCATTCCCATGTTTCACTGATGCCAATGTTGTCTGGATTCTCAGCCTCAGTGTGTGTGCACATAATGCATGAAATTTACTTATCTGGATCTTAACTGGAAAGGATCTCTGGAGTTGTTCTACTACAAGCCCAGCCTGAGGCCAGGCTTAAATTTTATTTCATTCATTATTTTATTTATTTTCTAGATATTTTTGACTGAAAGCATATTACAGTTCCAGTAATATAGTCTACATTTAAACTGGCAAGTGAATCTTTATCCTAAACAGATTATTCTCAAGTTATAACTATTACGAAATGTTGGTTTAAAATATATTTACATGTTGAACACTTTGAAGAATTTGTTTCTAAAACAGAAATCTCGGGTACACTGAAATTTAATTCAACATTTTACATAATCGGCAATAATGCACTATATTAACGTAACTAAACAATTAAACCTAATATAACCTTAACCTAACCATCGCTAGAATGTAAATAACAGAACTAATTATGCAGTCGTTCTCACTCCATTCCCACGAGTTTCCTTCAAGGACCGGTTGCTTATCGAGGTCCTCTCCACCATCCAACTACTCATGACCTTCCCCAGGATGCAACTATGGTAGCACTACACTGGTTTATGGCCTCGACCCTTATCTACACACTACACATTTGATCCCCGAGTAGTACAAACACGATTATACAAAGTTCCTTTTCGTCTTATGCTGCTATTCACCTAGTGCTAAAATCTTTATTCATTGGTTAAGCATCTAGTGTGGGATGCATTACAGGAAAGGTCAATAATTTATCAAGAGGAACCTAGATACTCAAATGGGGTAACTCCGATCATATATGCCGATGATATTTTGTTTCAGGGCAAAGATATTTCAAAGGTTCAAACAGTGTTGGACAATTTTGGAAACCTGTGTCATCATATGGGACTGGTGGTTAATGAAAACAAAACTAAGTTCAAATGTAGAAGTCAGAGGCTCATTATATTGAAAATAAACAGTAAAAATATAGAGAGTGTTAATATATAACTCTCAGTTCAAAAGGTGGGAAGTAGTGAACAGTGTATGATGAAGAGAGCATATATGAATACCTTATGTTCTAATGTTATAAAGTATGATATTACAGAGTGTATTGCTGTGCCTAAGAGAAAATTCACACCACCATGGGAGGATTGTAATGTAGATGTAGTAATTACTCCCTTGCAAAAGAAAAAATGTATGAAATAGGAGAACCGAGGGCAACATAATTGTACAATTAGAAAACTGCCTACAGAAAACACTCTACATGTATATTGTGATGGGTCAGTAGCTAGTGATGGGAAGGCAGGATGTGGAGTCTTGATCAGGGAGTACACCGACATTGGCACTGTAGATACTGTTATTGGACGCCGCTTAACTGACAATGTCTCTTATGTCTCTTCAACGCAGGCTGAACTCCAATGTGTATTAGCAGGATTACAGAAAGTAGTCAAATGTGGTAAAAATGCTTGCTTCTTTATTGACAGCAGAGGAGCGTTAGTCTTTAAATAGCAGACGCCCAGTATACCAGAATATTATGATAGAGTGTAGAGAGAATGTTAAGAAATTTGAAAAAACTGGGTATAAAGTAAGATTCACATGGATCCCTTCACATGTGGGAATACTGTTGAACGAGGTAGTTGATGACATAGCGAAGAGAGCCACGGAAAAAACTCTTGATGTTGTATGTCAGTTAACCTTGAAACAAATAAAAACAAGAATCAAGATGATCCAAGAGGGGGAAGAAATGATAAAGAGAATGGCAATGGTGGACAGTACTAACACACTTAAGAATTATTCAGTAATAAATACAAACTCGTCCTTCACCTATGGTAAAGGGAAGTCTACTTGGAAGGATTCAATTTACACGAGATTAAGATTAGGATACAAATATATCTGGCAATACGGTGTTGATGTCAGTGAAAAAGATAAGGAGTGTAAATTATGTAGTATGCTGCACGCCCACACCTTAGAACATTATGTATTAGAGTGTCAACTTATTGATAACTATAGAAATAAGGAAATAAGTAGTGTACCACATCAAATTGTTTGGATGTGTGATAATGGTATGATAGACAGCATACTTAGGAGCTACAAGAATTTTGCCCCAAAGAGTAACAATTATATGCTGTGCTTACTATATTAACCTGCAATGTTAAATAGGATTCTTGTCATGTTATTTGTCTATTTGTACTCACTGAATTTGTGCGCCCCTTGAGGGACTTGAAGTAGAGGGGGGTAGAAATAGCCTAAACTACTCTTATCCCTTTGAGATGTATTTATCACAATAAACATATTTGAACTTGAACCTAGATAATCTTATGGACAGGGTTCCGGTCTCGGACAACTAGAATCGAATTATAAGATGAACCGGTAGAAAGTATTAGCACATGAAGCCAGCGGTCACAGGTGGATCATAACATTGCTTACCTGTCACCATTGTTTCATCCGGAATTTCTTCAATGAAGCATTTTCTTTCCGTTTCCCCAATATGGAAATATAAACAGTTAGCAAAAGTACAAAACGTGCCCAGTAAAAGAAACGCTAAAACATACTTGGAGCAAAACATTTTGACTCGGACTTCCCGTCTGACACTTGAGTATCTTATTGCGAGTCACATTAACCACCACTTGCAAAGTTAACTTTAATCCCAATTTGTACTTTTTTTATTTACACAACTTTGCTAATGAATATTTATTGTTTAATTAACATGAATTACAAAATATTAAACCGCAATATTTATTAACAATTACATAAGACATATACAAGAAAGTTTTTCATGTGTTCATTTGGTGGTGATAGACTTCGTGAGAGGTCTGACGTGGACAAGAGTTAAGGATTCTAATACTATATATCAACAGTTAACGAATCCACTACTCTTTGTGCTGACAACAGTAATAGAGTCTGGTACTCTAAACACAGTTCATAAGCTCCATTCACCACGAAAAGCATTATTCGTAAAGTGATTTGTGCATAATAAAATACCTTATAGTAACCATGTCAACACTCACATAAGAAATCCGTTCACTCAATTATCCAAATAAAAAAATAAAAAAATGTTATTCAGGTAAAAGTACATTCACAGAAGATGAGTTACAAACATAATGTTGGATTATAGAGGAAGTCCATACAATACCTAAAGTCACTAATACGCACAGCGTTTCGGGCAAGTGCGAAATGTAGCATTAAAATGTAGCATTGTCGTCCGTCAATTAACAACAGCTCAGTAATAAAAATAATAATTGTTAATTATTTGTACACACCTCTCCACTGTCAATCAACTTGTGTATAGATTCCTGAGCCTATTAGGCGCTATTATATATATATATATATATATTTTTTTTTTTTTTTGAGATATATACAAGAGTTGTTACATTCTTGTACAGCCACTAGTACGCGTAGCGTTTCGGGCAGGTCCCTGAAATACGGTCCCCTGCCGCGAAGAATCGTTTTTTCATCCAAGTACACATTTTACTGTTGCGTTAAACAGAGGCTACAGTTAAGGAATTGCGCCCAGTAAATCCTCCCAGGCCAGGATACGAACGCATGACATAGCGCTCGCGGAACGCCAGGCGAGTGTCTTACCACTACACCACGGAGACTACCTACATCAAACCAAGAAATCCAACAGTCTGCTTGTAACTTATTTTGAATGTATGTACTTTTCCCTAAGTAAGATTATCTTATCAATCTCAAATTATCTCATATTTGTTGATATAAAACCTTGTTACAGTGTACCTTTTCATCTTACCTGATGTGTTAGATTTGTAGCGAGTAAACATTATACTCGCTCCAATCTCTCATTACCTTAATGACAAACTCATTAGCACTAATTACAGAAGTTATAATCTTTTCCCTAATTACAAGTAACATTCTTTCCATCCTTTCAACCTATTAGAGGATGATGAGATGAGGTGTAGTCCAATCATATAAGCAGCCCAGAAGCGATTAATGACCATTTGGTCACCACTTGGTCCGGGAGACATCTCCCGTCACGCAGGGTGCAGTTGCGCCTCCACAGATCTCCAGTATCATCTTTTGATACTGGTAATGGCTCGAAAGGGCCACCACTTACGGGCTATTCATGCCCGTGCCACCTCTTGGGTGGCTTAATCTTCATCAATCAATCATCAGATTAATGACCACGGGAGACATCTCCCGTTACGCAGGGTGCAGTCGCACCTCCACAAATCTCCAGTATCAGCTATTGATACTGGTAATGGCTCAAAAGGGCAACCACTTACGGGCTATTCATGCCCGTGCCACCTTTTGGGTGGTTTAATCTTCATCATCATCATCGATTAATGACCATCATCTGGTCACCACTTGGTCCGGGAGACATCTCCCGTCACGCAGGGTGCAGTCGCATCTCCACAGATCTCCAGTATCATCTATTGATACTGGTAATGGCTTAAAATGGCCACCACTTACGGGCTATTCATGCCCGTGCCCCCTTTTGGGTGGCTTAATCTTCATCAATCAATCAATCGATTAATGACCCCAGACAACCAGCGCTTTGTCAGTGAACTAAACGCATTATACATAGACAATGGCCTGGCCCCCATCATAGCCACTAGCGTAAATCTCACTGCCTCCTCTACCACTCCGGAGACTACCACCAGGACGACCATGCGGTCAACTTCAACACCGACTCCAGAACCGCCCATGATCCGGGCGACAGAGGTAATTCCTTCTCCAGCTCCCAACACTCCTACCATCACTATCTCAGCAGCCGCACTAGCAAACGTGCTGTCTACAAACGATAACAGCACCACCAGCGCTCCTGAAATAGCTACAACCACCAATCAACGACACCTAAACATACCTAAGGCTGCGAGGCGAAAGACAAAAACGCCCACTACGGAGGTTACGGACTCCTCAGACGAGGAAATCATAGTAGGAGCTCCACCGCATCACAAATACGACACCTACACGGTTCAAGACTTCCTCATGGAGGCCACGTCACCAAACTCTAACGACAGCACTGCTCAGCCAAAGTCGCAGGCAAAGAAAAAACGGAAAACCTAGAGATCTACACTAACCCCACCAGCTCCATAACTGGTATAGCCAGCCCTCCAGGCTGAAAACCATCATGAAGACCCCCCTCCATCGCCACATCTCTAGTATCAGCCACTGATACAGATAATGGCTCCAAAGAGCCTCCACTTACGGGCTCACCATAGCTCGTGCTACTGGAACTTATCGTTCTGAGTAGCGAATCTTAAACAACAACAACGATTAATGACCACACTTGACGGGAGACATCTCCCGTCACGCAGGGTGCAGTCCCACCTCCACAGATCTCCAGTATCATCTATTGATACTGGTGATGGCTCCAAAGGGCCACCACTTACGGGCTATTCATGCCCGTGCCACCTTTTGGGTGGCTTAATCTTCATCAGTCATCAATCGATTAATGACAGACAACCCACCGCTCCTGTGCCAGGTAAGTCCACTACGGGCTCACCATAGCCCGTGCTACTTGCCCCGCTCCTGTGCCAGGTAAGTTACGGGCTCATCATAGCCCGTGTTACTTGGAACTTGTTCCAAGTAGCTGAATCTATAACAACAACAATGATTAATGACTCTCACACCTCAGCAAAGCCTATCTACACCAGAGAGTAGCTGAAGGTTCGCCCTCTGCAATATGGTATCTTCAGGCAACCAAATTAGAAAGGTTAAATATCTCGAAAGGAATCCATAGGGAAATAGCAGTTAGGTTATATAGACTACGTCTAGGTTACAGATGCAACTGGGAGATTGGTGAATCCCGACAGAGAGAATGTATCTTCTACCAAACTGTCACAGAAAAGCCATTACTTCACTATTTTCTGGAATGTGAAGCAACCAACGATCTTAGAAGAGCTTTAAGAGTCCCTGAATTTTGCAGTAATCACCCTGAAGCCATCAACACAGCCACTCTTCTGGTCAAAAAAGGTGTCCAGCAGTTGAATTCAAAGACAATTCTATAACGAATGTTCCAACGTGTAAATATTTAATTCAAAATGATCTGCTACCAGAAATTTTAGCCAAATATCCCCAGTTTGCTAACTGTAGGTAGTAACTAAGTGATTGTAACCTATCTACCGCTGCCCACTGGATGGGGGGCGGTGTGCAGGACAAATATATCAATTGCGACACTAGCTCTTCACATATGGTCACTGCTTCACAAGCGGGGATTTTTCTGGCGGGGGAGGAAGAAACAATTGCGCAGCGCGTCCCGCGGCGTTGCGCGGGCAGTTTGGGGCCGTATAAATACGGGCGCACAATGGGGCTCTGCCTCACTCCGCCCGCCCTCGCCGCTGCCCTCGCAAAACCCCACCCTCCCCCCCTTTGCAAGCGGCTGCTTTTGTACCCCCGTCATGCTTTGCACAGTTGTCCAGATTGTCTCCCCACTGCATGTGGGAAGGGGGGTGCAGCGCCGGTCCCCAAGTGTCCCGCTGTCCGCAGCTAATACTTTGCCCAGTCTAGGTGCTAGTAAGCCCTACTTGTAGTCACACCCCCTTCTCCTTATCCATTAGGTCTTTTACGGCCTCTTGGCCGGGTACATTACGTGTTATGTGGTCTCTCACTTATTAGTTATTCTTTGTGTCCTGCCTGTTATATCCTAGTGTTATATAATTACTACACATTTGCACTCGGCCTTAATTCTAGTACCAGTTAACCTTTAGGTTTCTGCAGAATTAGTTTCCATGTCACTATAGGCTAAGGTCTCATACTTACTACGGGTGTACCTTAAGTTAAATCTAGTCCTCGGACTTGGAATTGTTACTGTTAATTCTTACTTTATATATTTACTTTATATATTTTGATATAAACGTTATATATTTACTTTATATATTTACATGTTCAATATTAAGTTTAATATAATATCAACTTTGTTATAAGTCTATAATATAAACCGTGTTTAATATAGACTTTATATAATTACTTACTTTATATTTGAACTTTATATATTTACATGTTCTGCAGAATTTAATCCTCAATAAACTTTAACGCCCCATACTGCCAGTATCTTTCTCCCCCTGGTCAGAAAATGTCGTGACATCTAGCGAGACCTAAGTGAACTACTTAAAAATCTTCGTAAGTATATTTTTCTGAATCGCACTTTATTTATTTATTTGTTTATTCATATATATATATACAAGAAGGTACATTGGGATTGTGAGGATACATAGCATAGTAATTACATTCTTGTAAAGCCACTAGTACGTGCAGCATTTCGGGCAGGTCCTTAATAAAACACTTTAATTCACCCGGGTCGTAAATACACGACGGGTTTGCAAAAACGGGATCCGTACCCGCGTCGTAAATAGCCGCGCGATGTAAAAAAAAAAAACATAAAATCCAATTCTTATTCGATCGCCTTGGGGTTAGTATGAAAATGTTTGCCATTAAATTTTTGTTTTCTCTAATAGGCACATGCCTATTTGGGAGAACGGCATTGTATTGTAACTTAGTGGAGAGACTATTGAGTTGTTGACACAACGAGGGTAATCGCCCATTTCACACACTCTTGGTGTGGGCCGCGATCATGATTCTACATTTATATGCATATGTCTGTGTAAGGAATTTTATTTCGAGTTCAGTGATATAAAATTTAACGCTGTAGGACTAATG